AACCCTATAGAAGAAGCAGCATCAACACCTGAAATAATTACATTTGATGTAGAAAAGAATTTTACAAATGATGATAAATAAACAATAGAGAAACATAAATTGGTTCCATTAGAGGACTTGTTGAGTATGTCTGTCCAGGAATTGGAAGGAGAAAGTAAAAAGCTGGTAAAATAAATAAAAAACTTGGTTCAAATAAACTACATGCTAAAACGAAAAAATAAAAAATATTATTTGACAAGGTAGATGGTATTTCTGATGATTGAGTCTGCGAATAAGGCAGAAATAAATATTTTGTCAGCACGAGATGTGACAAGGCCTGGGCCTTTGGCGTGAGCATTATGGGTAATGATGCAGTGGTATATGAGGGGGAGTATAGCACGTGATGTTCATCTAAGCTTAAGAACCAACCTTGCACCTTTGGCTAATACCAAATTAAGAGGCCTTTTTCCGGTCGTTTCTTCTTGCTGTCACAATGCGACTGATAGTATTGCCGATTGAGGAAGAAGATATGGAAGCTCTAATGAAGGCTAACAATGACAATCTTCTCGATTCTTTCAAAGGCCTCTTGGAGCAGACTGTTTCTCAGATCAAACAGTCAAATGAAGAATCGGTGGAAAGCCAGACGAAGCGCCACACTTTCAACGAGTCTCATAGATTTAAGAAAAAGGCGAACTAGGACCAGTTCAAGTTTAACCGGAAGCTTAGCGAGACGCTTGAGAGCGCCAAATCCGCCGCCAAAAATTCACAGTTCGAGAAGATCAAAACCAGCATAGAAGAAGGTGAGACATTAATTTCTGAGTGACAGAAACACATTCTACTAGCTGACAAGTCAGATTACGGATTGGCGACAGTCAATGAATATAAAAAGCACAGTTAGGCAGATGACTTGGATGTAGAGAAGCAGATTTTCAAGGCTGAATTGCGCGCTCGTACTTCTGTCAACGCATTAAAGAAGAAGAAATCCTCGGCGCCGGAAGAGTCTACTAAGCCAAGCCAACTACGACTTATTCCCGCACTTGTGCCTGGTTATTTGCCTCGACTCAAACCTGGGACATGTTTTGCATGTGGTAAATCTGGCCACTGGCGCGCATCCTGTCCAACAATGGCCCAGCAGAATCCATCAACAAAGTGACTAGAGGACCGCCACAACTCAGGTGTATTTCTTTCCTCTGGCAGTATTGAAGTTATTACTTTGCCTCTGCAAGCGGAATTAGACAGTGCTACTAACTCGGATCCTAGCATTGCCGCTTGTGCTGATTTTTTCATGTTAGATTCCTTCAAAGATTCAGACTCTTGAGCAGTTGATTTGACTTATTCATCTATACATGGAAGACTTAGAAAGTTTGTAGATTTTTGGCATACTTTGGAAGTTTTGCAATTCATCTCGAATGTTATTAAGCAGGGTTACAAAATTCCCTTTTTTTGAGAGAAAAAAATTCATCTGCTTGTAAGCCCGATATCATTAACCCGCTTTCAGTTTCTAACCTTCGTTCGGGAAAGCAAAGGCTTATTTTGGATCTTCGACATGTCAAACAGTTTATACACAAGCAGAAGTTTAAATTCGAAGATTTTGGGTATCGCTACGCAATTATTTGATCGTAATTATTACTTAAAGCAATTATTATTCAGGATTTTGGCAATGGGGTTTCAAAATATTTTCAGTTCTGTGTGCTCTCTTTCAGGCTCTCTTCAGCTCCATATATTTTTACATCAATTTTGAAACCATTACAGAAATAGTGGAGGAGCCAGGGCATCCCTTTGGCTATTTCCTTGATGACAGCTTAGGAGGGGGAACACAATGTTTCTCAAAATTAACTGTTTAGTTGTCCATTCAGATATGTTCATGTCTGGATTTTTTTCCAAATGAGAAAAAGTCCCTTTAGGAGCCTGTCCAAGTTATCACCTGGTTGGTTGTGACTCTCAGCACTATGGACGGGACTATAAAAACAGCTGACTAACGCATTGAAAAGTTAAACGCTGGCCTTATTGAGCTACTGTCTCGTCAACCTCCCCGGAAAGTACATGTGAAAAGAGTCGCTAGTGTAACGGGTCAAACTAATTTCCCTCTCTTCCTGTGTGGGTTCCATTGCCGTGCCTGTTAATTAGGGTGGTAGAGCACACGGGAGAATACGGTAAGAAGTGGGAGTCTTTTTGATTCTGGACTGTGTTTTGTAGACGGTGTACTTAGGTTATGGGTTGTTAGCCCTGAAGTGACTTGAGTCATAATATTGCTTGTCAATATCGTGTTATGACACGAGTTTGTGTCCAGAATTTATTCAGAATTGTTTGAAATTAAAGGAACCCATTTGTGGTCCATTTTTCAGATTTCAGTTGTCCATGTATTTCTCTGTTGGAGTTTGATTATTCCCGGTGATACTATTTTTATACAATTATTTATTTATTTATTGTTGGATTGTACTGGATTTTGGGCATCCAGGGTCGGACCGGTTGACAACTCGCTTGAGGGACTGAAAGATCGACTGAAGATGACTCTGCTCTATTCCAAAGCAAATGGAACTGTTGTGGCATACAATCATGCTTTCCGCAGATGGAAGCAGTTTGCAAACGATAGGTTAGACGGGAAAGCCTTTCCCGCCGGTCCTTTGCAAGTGGCTTTGTATTTACAACATATTATAGAAGGAACCCACTCCCCTTGCTCGGTCAATTCTGCTTTCTATGGCTTAGAATGGGCCCATGACGTGGCAGGAACCGCCTCCCAACTCATGATCCAATTGTGGAAGCTGTAAGGACGGCTTCCAAGAGAGTTCTTGGTACCAATGTCCTTAATCATAAAGAACCTATTTGGCCACCTTAATCCGCTGCATTATTAACAAATCAGACCAAGACAACCCTGTAGAGTTGCGTAATGTTACCATGTATGTTTTATCTTTGGCCGGTTTCTTTAGGTTTGACGATATCTCTAGAATTAGAAGTGATATTTCCTTTAAAGAAGGTTTCATGGTCGTTAAGGTATTTAAAAGCAAGAATGACCAGCTCCGTAGAGGCGACGAAGTCGTCACCTCACAATTGTCTGGTTCTGCATGCCTCGATGAGTTGCTTAAGAGGTATTTAGCTATGTTTAGGATACTCCCTGATTCAAAAGATGTTATTTTCAAGCCCATTTCTAGGAAAGGGCTCTTGAAAGCTTGTTGCCCCTAATAAGCCAATTAGTGGTTCTACTATTAGAGGGGCTTTTCGCCAGGATCTGCAAAGTCTCGGACCTGAACCGTCCAAGTTTGGTTGCATTCTCTACGATCTGGGGAGCCACTATAGCAGCAAATAATGGAGTAAAGGACAGGGTTTTCCATCGACATGATCGTTGGAAATCAGAACAAGCCGAAGACACATATGTTGATGATAATCTTGAACAACGACTAGAAGTTCTTGTTCTTTTTGGTGGTATAATAGGGAGCTTAAGCAACCACGACGACCTTGGGGACGACGACGGCAGGTATGCGCGGAGAGACTGGACCGAGGACTTCGTTTTAGGCGGGAAAATGAAACTTAAGCAGCGAAGTTGCTCAAGGACGACGACGTTCGATATATTCGTGCAGCCTCGCATTTGTCAAGAAATGACATCGTTTAGAGACGTTCAGAATCTATGTCTTCTCAGTCATGGATTTAATTTTATTGATGATATGGAACTTTTGATTCTATATGACATGTTCGAGCCAAGAAATCCGGATTTTCCTTACGAATCTTACGCGGAATTCGACTTAGATGAGATGGTCGAGTCAGAGTGCCTCGCTGAATTTCGTTTCAAGAAAAGAGATGTGTACCGACTTGCCGATGTTCTGCAAATTCCTCAGACCTTACGATGTGACCAGAGGTCGACTTGTGGCGGTGTGGAGGGCTTATGTATGCTTTTGAGACGGTTAAGCTACTCTTGCAGATACGGGGACATGATTCATAGATTTGCCAAGCCAGTCCCTGTCATCAGCATGGTTACAAATAATTTGATCGACTACATATTTGATGTCCATGGCCGACGATTGACCCATTGGAATCCTGAGATCTTGGATCCCGACCACCTTGAGACGTACGCAGCAGCCATTACGGCAAGAGGCTCACCTTTACACAACTGCTTTGGCTTCATCGATGGCACTGTAAGGCCGATCGCTCGACCGGGAGACAATCAGCATATACTATACAATGGACATAAGAGGGTCCATGCTATCAATTTTCAGTCTTTTGTGTTACCAAATGGCTTAATTGGAAACATGTATGGTCCCGTAGGTGAACTATGTAGCTATATTTTCGTTATTGCGATTTCAAATAAAAAAATTGTCTTTTAAAATAGTAATGAATTACTTTTTGTAACTTTTTTGTATCCTTCGCTTGTTTCAGAAGGCAGAAAGCATGATGCATCAATGCTTGCAGATTCGGGACTGTTGCGAGACCTACAGCAGTACGCCTTTGACCATGGTGGCCAACCAACGTGCCTGTATGGAGATCCCGCGTACCCACTTAGAGTCCATCTTCAGGGTCCGTTCCGATTTGGAGTTTTAACCGATCAAATGAAGGCTTACAATACTGCAATGAGTGCTGTAAGATCTTCTGTTGAATGGCTATTTGGGGACATAATAAACTACTTTAAGTTCGTGGACTTCAAGAAAAATTTAAAAATTGGGCTAAGTAGCATTGGCAAAATGTATATCGTTTCTGCTCTTCTCCAGAATGCCCTTACCTGTCTTTATGGCAACGAAACGGTCACCTTTTTTGATCTTGACCCACCAACACTGGAAGAGTATTTCTCATGAGATTTTCATTTGTTTACTGTTTATTTGCTCTTAAATCAAAAGGAGAGCTCATAACAATAGTCTTCAGCACTTTATAAATATTGTAAAGTTTATAATCGCAATAAGTTTGAAAATATTTGTGATGAAATAAATATATCATCTTTAGAACAAATGTTATTAACAAAAGATTTGAAAATATCAAGGAAGGGATGCACAACTTTAACTCAACAATAATGTTCATCAAACAAACTTGTGAAAAAGTTACTTTGGAACATATTTTTGCATAAAAGCTAAAAATGCCTGTGACTGTTGCTGCTGTTGATTAATCATCATCATCATCATTTGCTGTTGCTGCTGCTGTTGTTTGACCATGGCGGAGATCAGGTTTTCTTGATTCTGGTTCTTTTCCCTCTCCCTTTCTTTTATGTTCTCCTGCTCTTTCTTCCTTAATTCCAGTTCTTGTTCTTTCAAACCAATCTCTTTATCCGCCCTTTCTTTTAAATATTCCACAGCATCTGATGTGCTCCTTCGACTTTTCTTCTTCAGATTCTTTGGTACTGAGTCATCACTTTCCTTTTTTCTTTTCGCAGTTTGCCCCATACGTTCTAGAGCCTTCTTTCGCATGTCTTCGGCTGCTGCCTTGTCATTCTGGTTGTCACTCTCCAACTTTTCTTTAGCAGCTTTTTCCTTCTCAAGGATTTCTTCTAAGAGATCATCAAGCTCTGAAGTTTCAACTTGAATGCCGCTAGCTTTCTCTTCACTATTTAGTTTTGCAGCCATTTTCTTGGTAAGGAGGTTGTGGCGGTCTCGTACGGACCTTGCAGTCACCCGAAACTTTGGACATGAATTTTCGTTTAACTTTTCTGCCAAAGATTCCCAGGCCTGCCCCCTTTCTGGACTTCTGATTTTAAATTGGTAGGGCTCGATCTGAAGAACCTCTCGACACATAACGATATCGTGGTCATTACTCCACACGAAATTTGGATTTCTGCCAAAGTAGATAAGAAAAGGATTTGTGAGTGATTGTGCTAAATAAAAATTTAATTAATCCACTATTTGATATTATAAAATCTTTTCATATTACTTTGCTGTTAAAAGAGCTAAATTTTAAGGGAAAATTTACCGCAATAAAAAGATCGAAAGCAATGCAAATTATTTTATTTCCGACCTCCTACATTTGCAATTTGTTCTGCGAGTTCTTTCACGGCGATACGTGTATTTTTAATTTCCGCTGTAAATATTTAGAATACTAGACTTTGAGGAGATTATTTCACATTTCTTTTACCGCCGTAAATATTAAGAACACTAGATTTTACGGAGATTATTTCCCATTTAACATTACGGGGTGTAACTCATAAACAAACCTGATATTGCACCAGATAAATGCAGGATTCAGGTTTGAATAAGGTTGCTTTCTACTTCACGCAAGCAAAACGACAACAATACATTTACAGCTTTCCATGACACATTAAATTCAATTGACGCCAACATCTCTTTCACCATCGAAATTGAAAGTGACAATAAGATCTCTTTTCTCGACACTTTGGTCACCCGTAGAAATGGCACCATCGCTGTCGATGTTTACAGAAAGCCTACGCACACGGACAGATATCTAGATTACAATTCTCACCATGATAATAAACACAAGGCCAGCACAGCAGCAACTCTTCTACACAGAGCCCTAAAGCTACCCAACTCCTCCGAAGGAAAAGAACGAGAACTTAACCGAGTTTATTCAGCACTTGAATCTAAATGTTATCCATCGAATTTCATTAAAAACATCCAGACCTAAAAAACCCGACGCTCAACAGTGTTGTCCCCGGAGGAACTTGTTGGCACATTTTTCAAGATGGTCGAGGCGTCCGAATCACGCAAGTCGTTCGCCTCTCTTCCATACATTAAAGGCATAACAGAACCTCTGACTCGTGTCCTCAAAAAACACGACATCACAGTGGTGAACAAACCACTCATCACCCTTCAACAACAGTTCCCGGCCCCAAAATTTCGACCATCGTTGGAATCGCAAACAAATGTTGTTTATAAAATTCCTTGTGGTGACTGTTCATGGTGTTATATTGGTGAGACTGGCAGGGCCTTCAAAACAAGAAAGAAAGAACACCTCAGAAATGTGAAAACCGCGGCAAAAGGCTCAAGAATTGCCAATCACGTCTGGGCCAATAGTCACGCAATAGACTTTGATAATGCATCTATTATTGACAAAGGCGGTTTCAGAACAAGAAAAACACTAGAAGCGTGGCATTCCAAGTTAACTCCCAATGCGGACAACAATTCCTGTCCTTTGCCCGGACAATACAACATTCTTTTTAACAAACATTCTTAGTTATCAGCATTTTTAATTTTTTACTTTGTACTTCACACCTAGTATTTCTTACCTTTTCATCATTTTACCCGTTGAAGGTTGTAGCGCAAACAGCCGAAAGCTCGTATTTTTAAAAGTTTTAGCCAGAGATGGTTTTTTTTTTTTTAAATTTCACAATACATTTACAAACAATCGGCGGTCAGCCTAGAATGCCGCGCCTTTAAGATTATTTTCTCTTCACATTCACGGCCAAGGGAATCTTTTTTTAGCCGGATAGTTAGTGAAATATTTCGAAAATAAAGTTACAAAACCAGAGAGGGAAAAAGGCTTGAGTAATGTAAACACGCAATATGATGAAAACCCTCGACGCTTTTAATTAAGTAAAAGATCGAATCTACAAGTTACCTACTTTATATTTTCTTGCACCCGAATTCACAGGTATATAGTACTGCTATCTAAAACTTTTCATTCAAAAATAATCACAATCAGCATTCTTTCACTAAATTCCGTCAATAAATTGCTTACGTGTTTGCTTTCTCTCCAGTTTTCACACTTGCCGCCATCTGTGCAAAAAAGGAAAACTTAAAATAAGCCGTTTGTGATAATTGACCCGAACATAAGAGCTTAAAACAACGGCACAAGACAATAAAAACTCCAACCAGTTATCAAATTTGGCAAATGGTAGTAAATTCGTACCTTTTAGTGCTCAATTCAACTCAAATTTCTTCCCACGTTCACGACGACGTGAAACAACTCTTTCTGACGTCGTCGACGCTGGCACGACGACGAAATGTTTGGGCCGCGCTTGCGCACTAACGTTCATCCTACTTCCGGTCGTCGTCGTCCCGGTAGTCGTCGTGGTTGCTTAAGCTCCGTAATATCACCTAGCATTGTGCGTCTTGCCCATAATACATTCCATAAATAACACTCACTTGAATGACTAATTTTTCTGATTTTTTTCTAATTGTTCACACTGAAGTGTGAATTATTTGATACAAATGTATTTCTGCCTGAAATTGTTGGAAATTTAACAAAAGTCTTATTATTAGTTCTAGGTTGTTGCAGTAATAGAAAACAGATCCTGTCTTCTCATCAAACACCTTCTCTGTAATAGGATTATCATCATTATTTGCATCTTGTATTTTCAATTCTTTGGTCTTTTTATCAGGTGTGATGAAATTAAGAGTACCATTCGTTATTTCATGATTTTTATCCCACACACTCAACAGAACATTATTATGAAACCCTGAGATGCCATAAACTATGACAAGAATGACTAAATCTTATGTATAACTGATGCCGGATTTATTTTTCAAAACCATGTCAGTCATAAGGTGATTGGGAGTTGTGTTATTGTACTTGTGCAAATGAATTATACTTCGGCTGTGATCACTAAACAAATTAGTTGATGTTCTTGAAACTGTCCTAATACTACTGGTAGCTGATATCTGGAATGTTGAATGGTTGATTGATGCTGAAGGAAAATGCAGTTCAAAAACGACAGTATATTCACCAGTTGGAAGAGAGTACATATTTAAACCTACTCGACTGCTGTGATAACCTTTACTTAAATCAAGATGAAGTTTCATCTCATTTGTCTCTTTTCATATTCTATGATATTCTTTTTAATATTCATAACTACCCAATGTGTACCAGGACCGACACTCATCTAGGTTTATCACATAATATCCTTAGGGTAAGGGGGTAAGTTTCTAAAGAAACTGTGGTGCTGCGTCGGTGGGAGAGTATAACAGGTTATTTAACACAATGCCTCCCAGTTTTTCGATAAACGTGGCTATCCTGTTTCTTTAGTTCAAGCGGGCCACCACCGTGCCCAACAAATTGATCGACAGTCAGCACTACAAACGGCTGAGAAGGAAAACAATGATCGCATTCCATTCACTCTCACATTTAACCCTCATAACCACGCGGTTAAATCTATCATTCTTAAAAACTCTAAATTACTCCAAAACCATTCAGAGACTAGTACTATCTTTTCGCAACCCCCCTTATTTCATTCAAATCGTTCGGAAAGCCGCAAATTTATCTTTCAAATCGGCACTCTTAATCCCCACGGTATCAACGAGCGCTTTTCATTCAACTAATTTATTCTTGTTTTCTCGTCACCATACTCCCAACAATAGCGTTGCTCCACTTTCTGCATAGAAAGCCACACACAACCCACAATTCCTCCAATCGCTCTGACGAAGGGTTAACGCTCGAAACGTCAGCTTTTTTATTCTTTATGGTGGCCAATTTACGTTTCTAACTCAGTTATTAACACTAAATTACCGAATACACCCATAAACTACTTTATCCCGATACACTTTACCCAGTTGATAATGTCATAATTGGACAATGCTTTATTTAGAACATTACACCAACTAAAGGGATTCCGTTGAATGGTTAGTTTTTTCCCAGCAGTAGTCCTTCTCCCTTAGAGGTTTTTATTTTTTACCAGTACCTATGGTACTGTTGTTATTAGGCCAGTTACCAATAAGTGACGGTGGTGCTCCCATATTTCTCCCTTCATTCCAACAACCAACAAATGGAGGTGGTCTTTATGGCACTAATGATTCCTCATAACTTCTAACCTGCATGCCACCACCATCTGATATTAGTGGAGGAGGAGGAGGAGGAGGTGGAGCATATCTGACTGATAGAGTTCCTGGGATAAATACTACCCAGGAACTCTACCAGTCTGCTCAATTCGACCGTATCTGACATTCACAATTTTTCTATGGATCACAATATGAGACTAAACCCTATTAAATGTAAAGAGATGTTAATTAACTTTGTTATATCCTAACTTTACCCTCAGACCATTAGTTGTAGGCAACAACGGTATAAAACGTTCATCGACTTACAAGATTATAGGAGTATTTATCAATATCGACCTTACGTTGAATAGTCATGTTGACCACATATATAAAAAAGCTTGCAAGAAGCTCTACTCCCTACGTATTCTACGTCGAGCCGGCGTTGATCAAGATAGCATGTTAAGGGTCTATACAAGCTCTGTTAGATCTGTTCTAGAGTACGCCATGCCTGTGTGGCAATCCATTCCAGGTTATCTGTCTAACAAAACTGAATCCATACAGAAAAGAACGCTTAAGATAATTTCTCCACGTGCTGGTAGCTACTCAGATTCCCCTCGAGTTAGCGAGGGTGGAGACCCTTGCGTGTAGAAGAGATAAGATATGTAAAAAGGTATTTGTGCAAAATAAAGGACTTAAACCACCCTCTTCATCCTCTTCTACCAACACGCCTAAACGATACCTTTCCCTACACCCTTAGGCACAAATCAAACCAGCTGTGCTTTTACAAAAACGTTACTATTAACGTTGAACGAAGCGCACTGAAGACTATTTCACTTTTAAGTATTTTTAACAAATGTGATGCATGTTCTGGTGTGGTGTATATAATTTGTACTTAAAGTGCCTACGACACGAAATTTTCTTGTGCATTTTTTGGTTGATAGCTGTATTCAAAATTAGAGATAGTAGATTTAAGCGCCTAGCGAGTTCTCCTCGACCATTTTTTTGTGTATTGAAAGTACGATTTGGCGGCCAAAAAGAGTCCTCATTAAGCGCACAGCCAAAACGATCATGTTACATCATGTAACATTACATGTTACGTTATGACGTAGAAAACTGTTTAGACGAGTCGGCAACTACGGTGGAGAAAGGAGAAATCTGGAAGATACGACGAACGTATTGCGTGGCGCTAACTTATGTTAGCTAAAAGAATAATACACATATACCGGGTATTTTCATACACTTCTTTCCAAAGGATTTAGCTGTATGGCCGAAATGGACGCGTTTCGATCGTCGACATCGAGGAGATTTTACTCTTCAATGTCGTCGGCCTTATGCTTCGTACCAGCTCTTGAAGGCGTCTGTTACGAACACATACCACTTGACAAATCAGAGGAAGATAACCAAAGAATTCAGCTTAAAAGAATGCTGATTAAGGAGCCTGTTCCCACACCGTTAACGATTTTTCAACATTATTTTCGGCTGACATGTCGCAAGCGAAGAATGGTGAGCTCCTTATTGTTCAGGTTTATTTCACGCGCTTGAAATGTCCCCATACCCCTTGTCTTTCCACATGACGACATTTGCGCTTTTCTTATCGTATGAAAATCCTACATGTTGTAGTTTACATCGTATTTTGTTAGTAGAAATACATAATTTGTGATAAATTTCAAGCCCTTTCCTGACCTGGCCGATATCCTATTGCATGAACAGTGCGAAACCTCTGGCGAATACTGGCATAAACACAAGGTCGAGGGGCCGTGTATTCTTCTAACCTAACTTTCCGAAAATAAATCCCACGAACCATCAATTCCCCCCTGCCTTCAAGAAACTAAAAGTAGCAACAGTAGCAATGTTATTGTGATAACAGCACTGCAACGAGATAAATAAAGAAATAACAAATTTATCGAATTAGATGGTAGCGAATCAATGCGCTGTGTGAAAGTCGATGCATACGTAATTATTTACAATACTGATGTCAGTTATTTGCCATTGAGCGAAATGGGTCATATGGCAATGCTGCGCTCAAACTAAAGAAATTTTCTCCATTAAAAATCCCTATTTGAGGTTAACTTGAATCGGATAAACTCGCTCGTTTTCCGTTTGACCGGCTCGACGACGACAGCATCAGCCTTTGCAATCTTTGAGGAAAGGAGTAACTTGCACTGTAACTGCCCGATGACTTCTCGGCACAAAATCATCATGCCTCGTGATAAAGCTGATACTTTCGTCAAAAGTTAGCTTAGGGTTTGCTAAGGGAATCATTGTACAGCAACAAAACTCTAGAGCACTGACCAAGGGGAACCTTCGCCACACTTGGTGCGAAAGAATAAAATGCTATGTCAACAAAAACGAACA